TAGTCACTGAAACGTAATCTCTGAAATATCCAGAAGTTACTTGTGTGTAATTGAGAATAATCTTTGACGTTTACTACAAATCTTTGTTGTGATTCTCTGAGTTTAGTCTTAACATTATTATTTTGTGAATTGTATTTGAGTTACAAATCAGACGTAACAATGTGATTTGATTTTATTTCAAATTTGAGCCAATTATATAAAAATTATATAAATTTAATTATTTATAACTTTTTATCTAAAACTAATTTATAAATCTGACTGGTAATTTGGTAATGTTTATCATAAAGAACAAATTTACTGGTTTATTTCTTTTAAATTTTATTTTTTAAAAATTTTAAAAGACTTTTAAGTATTACATTGTTATTGTAAATATAGATTTCCTATACTATATAACTTTATTTAGTAAAATTAGTTTTATAAAATTATAGAAAGAAAGAAATTACTAGAAAAAATAAAAAAATGAATTAATATTAATTTAAATATATTTAATCTTAAAATAATATTTGGTATATAAAAGTAATATTAATTTTTTTGATAATTTCTTACTTTTCTTTATAAAAGTTTTATAACATTTAATTATTATAAGATATTTTATTTATTTATGTTAAAAATAATGTAATTCTATAATATTTTCATAAAAAATATTAAGATTTTAAAATTATTTAATAGGCTTAAACTTTATGATTATAATAGAATAAAAAAAATTATTAGTTAAAAAAGTTTTATTGTAGTAGATAATCATTATTATAGACTTTTATAAGTTAAAGTAACTTGTAACAATAAAATTAGAAGATAAAATAAATATTTGTATACAATTAAATTATATTGTTTTGCTTTTTATAAATACTATGATTATTTTATATTAGATGTTATTTTGAACTAAAATAATAATAATTTCAATAGAAAATTATTTTATAAAAAATAATTAGTCCTGATTATATATTTTTAATGTTTAGTTTTTATACATGTAATAATATATTATTTTAACAATTTTGACTTTTTATTATGATTTATAATTAATTTTAAAATTTAATTAACATTATTATAATATTATAATTTATATATATTATTTCTTAATGCTATAATTATATTCATCAACTAATTTACTGATTGAATTTATACTATTACTTATAATTATTTTTATTTTAAAAGTTAAATTAAAGAAAACTTTTATTTTATATCTATTTAAACTATTTATTAATTTAATAAATTTATTTAGTTTTTAAGTAATTTTTTACATTAAAAAAAATTTTTTTTTTTGTTAATAAAGAATATTTTATTATATGAACGTTTTGCAAGCAAAAAAAAAAAAATTTACTTTATATGCATAATATGATTTTTTTAGTTAACTCTAAAAAAAACCTTTTTCCTCCTTTTTTTTTACTGACCATTCACAATATTTTTAGTACCAAATCTATACATCAGACGGGACTCGGCGCGGGTAACTGGAATTTATATCACGTAAAGGAAAATCAAATTGCCTATAATTGGCTTAATTCTGGTAAATATCTTATCCGAATTTAATTTTTTATTTGTTTCATTATTATAAAAATAGTATACATCTTAATAATTCTGATATAACAAAGCAATTCAAAGAATTTCCCAACATTTTATATTTTTGTAACGTACTAATATTCTCGGGAAATTCAAAAGATGTTCCTTTATAATGATTATTCAAAAAATTATATGATTTTGGAATTGACATTTCTTGATAAACTGCTTCATTTAATGGATTTTCAAAAAAAATTTCTACTTTAAAATTTTGTAATTTAATAGGAAATGCATGTAAATTTGCAACCTCTTCAGGTGTAAAATATCTTAACACAATTTCCAATAATGATGATGGATTTTCAAAATTATAATTTGTATACTACAAAAAAAAAATTTAAAGGTAAATCGAATAAGTTAAAGGCAATTTTTTTTTTTTATTAAAATCACTTATCATACCTCCAAATTTTTTGTTTGAATCAAACTTCCGCTGGAAAAGATATGACGGCTACCATATGACTAAGATGAAATACTATTTCGTTAATTATAATTCTTAATAAAAATAGACTTACATTAAACTTACTTTGGTAAAACAAGAACATTTGTGATCTGATGGAAGAACAATATCTAATACATTAATTACTACTGTTAATAATTTTTTTTTTTAATAAAAAAATAAAAAAACTGATAAATCAATTCTTACCAAATCTAAAATTAAAACTCTTCAAAATGTATTTTTCTGGAACCAAATGCTTTTTAATTTTTTCTTCATCTAATTCTTCTAAATATGCGCTCAATGGAGGAATATTAAATATATTAGAATAATTTTCTTGTTGGTAATTTGTTTTTAACATATTAGGTAACGGCCAAGTTAAATGAATTACTGTATTCTCCAAAAATTCATGAGGAACAATCAAATCCTTTAAATCTGATCGTTTTTTTGCCAATAAATAATATCTTAATCTATCGTTAGGAATTCCGAATTGTAATGGTGTTAATAAGCATTCAGTTATTTCGTAATTCATTAAACAAAGTTGAGTAACTAATTTTTCTCGACATTTTGATTTCTAAAAGATTATAAAAAAGACGTTCTTTAAATTCAAAGAGATGTAACATTAAAAAAAATCACTTCAACTTACCTCGAAATTCAAAACATTCTCCAGAAAGACATAATTAGGAGGATCTGATAATTTTGGCAAAATATCTATTAAATGAAGTAATCCTTTTGCTCTTTGATCTTTATCATCTAAATATTTTCCTCCTCTTGTATAAGGTTGACAAGGTGGACTCATTAACCAGCAATTAGCTTTGTATTTCTCAATATCTTTAATAACCAAAGAATCTATTGCTTTCTTTTTTTATAAAAAAAAAAAAGAAAAAAAGATATAAATTTGAATTTGGGATTTTGTTCCTTCTTCATAATATTTGTTTTTAGAAAAAGAACTTATTTTCTTTACTGTGATAGGATCTTTCCCAAAATTATGTTTATATACGGAATTTGCAATTATATTTATATCGAAACTTGCAACAACTTCTCCTTTAGTTTCGGATAGAATGAAAGCATAATGCTAATATTAATAATATAAGGTAAGTCATCTTTTTTTAATAATAAAAAATTAGGGTAGAATAATTTACCAAACCACCTATCCCAGAGAAGAATTCCAGGCATCGTATATCGCTAGGTGAATGTCCCATTATCGAAAACAAATATATATTTTTTTTTGATTTGTTCCATAATCGTATGAAAGCTCGGACACGTGATTATATGAAAAATGGTGTGACGATTATTTATATAACCACGTGCCCGAGCTTTTCTTGTCGGTAAATGAACTTTGTTAAAATTCCTTGCTTTATTATGCAGCTTGAACGGTGCAGTGCAGCTTTATGCAAAATTACTTATTTAATCAATATTTTAAATATAAAATTTTAGTAAAAAAACTTTAATTTCTATGGGGAATCTATTAAAACATAACCCCGGTATGACATGTTGCAATTTTTTTTTTTGGTTAGATTTTCTAGATTGTGTAATTATTAGTAAGGGGAATGCCAATTTCATATTAATTAAAAACAATTTGTATTTCTTCATTTGGAATTTAAATGTTAAAAATATTTATTAATTAATCTTTTCTGTGCCAAAATTTTTTTTTTTTTTTAATTGGAAAATTTTTTTTTATTATTTGATTTTTTCATAAAAATTTTCGCGTCACGTATACAGATACTTTCATTTACACCGGAAGCAATGTCTGTTCAAAATTGCAGTACCATTTAATTTGCATAATATTTTTCGGTAAGCTCCGTTAGTACAAGAATGCAATAGAAACGCCATTATTATTTGTCGGAAATTAAAATTTTTTTTTGATAATAAAAACAAATGAAAACGGAGTTTTAGAAATTACCTTTACAGTAAATTAAATTTACACGGCATTTTGAAAGAAATTTGTAACATGATATTCCTTTCAACCTTTCAAACTTTTTCCTTTCTTGTTGTATAAGGATCGAGAACTGAAAATGTAGCAAGTTGAAACTCTACAATAGATTTTCAATAACGAATTGTCGAAGGGACAATAAGGCTAATGATTCGATTATGTTTTTGTACTTTTATGTCGAATAAAAAAAATCTCGATTTTTGGATATAATGTGTGGCGCAAAAAAATATTTTTTTTTTGAGCCCCCGAAATAAAATCACGTGATAATTTAACATTCATTATCAACTGCTGGAGATTTGGAAAATTAATTAATAAACAAATATTTAATCGATCTAGATCCTGTCTAAATTTAAGGTTTTGATGTTAGTAAATAAAAAAAAATCTGTTACAATACATTTTAATTAAACCAAATTGGGACAAGTATATAAATAGAAAGAAATACATCTTTAAGCGGGAGATTTTATTTTCCAACAACAAATAAGTTTATAATTCAATAGCAATTGACAATTCAATATAAAAGGTATCCACCATTTCATCATTTTCAGAATTCAAGACTTGCCATTTAATATTCAAACTTGGTTGGTATAATATTCTGTACATTCCCGATATAACGAATTCTCTGTTAAAAGACAAAATTTCGCTATATCGATCGAACGTTATTGAATAATCATGAAAGTGAAAATTTTCTTTCGTTAGTTAAATTTCTTTAATCTAGTTAAATTGTGTAATATCAATTTAATTACAAAAGCGAATGATGTTGTAACAAAGTTAAAATGAATTATCGTATTTTCCCGAAATAAACCATCCCTAAATTACGATTCTTTTTCACAATAATTCGTGGTGGTTTAAATTATGAAATTCTCAGGGTGATTTTTTTCGGGAAAATATGATACATTGTAAAATGCAAGCTTCAAATGTAAGTGGATCGTTTTTTATTGAAATTATTCCTGACATTATCTGAAGTAATTGTTATTCCCAATGAGAAAAAATCAATTCACATAAACAAGAGCCAAGAATTTTACTTTTATCACTATAAAAATAATAAAATAAAATATCATCACTTAAATCAAGAGAATCTTTTAATATAATAATTCTACGATCAAGAAACTCCTAAAGGACTTAAAATGGAATTTCTAATAAATATTATAGAGAAGCAAAATATCTTATTTGGTTGTCAATTTCAAATGAAATGATTTAGGTCTATATATAAAGAAACAAGAAAATATTAATATGGTACCCTAACATGGCTATAAATAATTCAACACATTTCTACAAAAGCTCATACCTTGTAAGATAATCAAATCCAAATCTCGACTAATTTTTAAAGAAAGAATAATTAGTAATATGACAATGCGATTATAGTATGTTCATTTAAGCTTTACCAACCAAAGTGCATCCTCGGCCCGAATTCTTAACTCCTACCCAAGCCAAAGCTGGATCAAGATCTACAAAATCAAAGATGTCAACAATTGATATTTCATTACATAATTAATAGGACACTGAGGCAGCTCAAAAACCAAAATATAAAAATATGCAAAATTCATTAAACATACAATCACAACGGTTCATAAACCAAGTTCCAGTCTCGATTTCATTTCCAACGGCTATAGCAGCATCCTGATCTTTGGTCCAAATACTCGCTGTAAGACCAAATTCTGAATCATTCATTAGCCGAATAGCTTCCACATCAGAAGAAACCTGCAAAGTCATAAATATATCAGAAACGAATTCACAACAAAAATATGCGTAAATAAACCTCTACACCAACTTTCATGATTCCAATTACAGGACCAAAACTCTCTTCTGTCATGACTCTCATTGAGTGATCTACGTTAACAAGAACTTGAGGTGCCATGTACGGTGTGTTTTTCTGATATAATAATAAATCGATTTTAAATTTTCTATGAATTAGAATTATTCATCAAATTTCTCAAATCACCTTATCTTGAGGGTATAATTTAATATCTATTAAAGGTTTTGCACCTTGACTAACTAAAAGAGTAATAATGCACATGACTTAAATTAGTTTGACTCATAATAGGCAAAGTGTAGTTATTATACTAACCAGCTTCTTCAATCTGCTTTCGTACAAATTCTGCAGCTTTGGTACGAACCATTGGACCAAGAGTCGTATCGGGTTCCGTTGGATCACCCAATTTATAGTGCTTAATATTTTAAACAACAAAACATATTATTCCCATAAATTTAAAAAGGATTCACCTTAAATGGATAAAATAAATACCTTTATTAATTCTACGAATTTCTGAAGAAATTGATCGTATACTTTCTCATGAACATAAATTCGTTCAATTGCACAACAACATTGTCCACTATTGAAGAATGAGCCATCAACAAGTTGTTCAGCAGCATAATCTATGTCAGCATCATGTCGAACATATGCAGGATCTTTTCCACCTAACTCAAGTCCTGTTGCTAAAAGGATAGAGAAAAGAAAAAAAGACATGTCAGTTAAAAATCAAACATTAAAAAGAACAAATTTTCAAAAATTATTCATCAATACCAATAAATTTAGTACTGGCAGCCATTTGAATTTCTCTGCCCCCCTCAACCGAACCGGTGAAATTTACGAATGCAATAAGTGGATTTTTGATGGCTCTCTCTGCGTCACTATGTGACATGTGTAAAATCTGGAATACATTATCTGGAAGGCCGGCCTCTTTGAAAGCTTCAGCAAATCTCTCAGCACATAAAGGAGTCTGAGAAGATTGTTTCAAAATAACGGTATTACCTATTCAAAAAAAAATTTGTATTAAGAAACCCTATCATTGAGAATTAAATAAAAGTTCGTATGTAAATGATCACCTGCAAGGAGTGCTGGAACAACACCGTTTACGGAAATGAGATACGGATAGTTCCAAGCTAAAATATATTCAAATGCTTTAGCTTTTCATATTACATTGTGAGAATGAAAATAAGTTTTTATTGATAAAGACACCATCATACCAGCAATTATAAGAATTGGACCTGGAATAAATAGGAGAGAATTCATGTCATTTTTCGAATATTTTAATATTTTGAAATACAGGATAATAACGAATTGAAAAGAAAATCGTGACAAACCTAAAGACTCTTTTCGAATGAACCGTTTAAATCCAGGTTTATCAGAATCCGTGATTTCAACATCTTTGAGACTCTCCTCCGCAATTGAAATCATATAACGTGCACGTTCTTCTGTACCATTAATTTCACTGGGCGCATACTTAATTGGCCTAAATGAAATGTGTAAATCCAATGAATTTTGAATACGAAATCATAATTCCCAAATTATTTTTAACAAACCTTCCCATTTGTAAGGTCAATTCCATTGCAAGACTTTCTTTTTTTGCGACAAAAGCATCAATGAATTTGGATATAATTTGAACACGTTCTTTGACGGGAAATTTTTTCCATGATTGAAAGGCTACATGCGAACGTTCGATTGCGGTATTAACCTCTTCCGTTGTGGCTAAAATTCTAGTAACGTATGGTGAATTATCGACGGGAGAATATGTTACTTGTTTTGCCATTGTTTTGTACGTTTATAATCTCGATTTGTAATTTATAGATAAAACTAGGAAAGCAAATTTCACATGAGTAACCATAATTTAAGCATTAAAATGATACATAAGTTCTTTCAATTCTCACCCAAGAATCTGTATACAAAAAAAAAAGAAAAAATTTTTTTTTTCAAATTTAAGAATTTTAAGAATTTTATTTTTTGAAAAGAAATTAATCGAAAATGCCTCAAATAAAAAGAAAAATAAATTGGCGTGGGAATTTTCGATCAAAAGATCATAGCTTATGCACGATCATCGCTACACAAGATCCATGTGTTTTACATTTTTTTTTTTTTATAAAAGAACGAAGGTCTTGAGATAAAATTTTGTTTTATCAGAAATTGGAATCTATCCTTTAAAGGTTATAAATTTTTGCTGAAAATACAAATATAAATAAATTCCGATTTTAACGATTCTTCCTACACTTCAATCGATTTTGAATTGTTAATGTTATAAATTAAATATTTCACATTACATTACACAAGATAAAAAAGCATAATTCATCCGGTTGATATTCGAACAAAATTATTGATGATATCGCTTTAAAATCTTATCATATATGTAACATTTTATGATGCAAGAGTATATTTGTATCAGAAGGTTAGTGAAAAAAAAGGAACTCATATTCGAATACGGATTGATATGAACTCATCTTCGAGTACGGCTCGAATATAAAATAAAAACTTGAAATGGGATTATAACCAATTTCATATATGAATAGCGATCATCTTTAAAAATTTTCTTGTGCTTTTGAATTAGTTATAAAAGCTTTTTGTAAGTAAAATTTTACTTATGAGAATTGCTAATGCGAACTCTTCTTACATAAAGTAATATAATTATTTATATCGGAATTTTCATTGAATTAAGCATATATACATATGGTTAAATGTACACAAAAAAAAGAAAAAACTCGAATTAACAGTGATTCAAATGGATGACTTTGCGATAAAAAGATCATAACTTAATAGTCGGCTCATCAGAGCAGCAGTAATGGCATGGCAAATTTTAAAGTCATTTGCTGCTTTTTCAAATTTTATAAATAAATTGAGAACCTACCTCAGAGGAAATATTCAAATAACTTAATTTGGTAAATATTTGTCTACCAATATCTCACAATTCTACAAAATAAGTAAGTTCTTCTGAACAGTACCAAAGAGAACACAAGAAATTTAGAGATTGAATTTATTACTATTCAAGATAATTTCATAATATGGATTCGAAATGACTAAAACATTTCTTTTAATAGATGAAATTGATTATATTATCTTTTGTATCCAATTTAGAGACTATTTATTTGAAAAAAATTTGGCCTTTTCATATCTTACCAACCACATCTTCAAAAATATCCCTACACTTAACTTTAGCACCCAACTTAGCACAAAGTAAAAAAACGCCAGATAATTTTCTATGTAAACTATAAGTTGCATCAGGAGGTGGCGTTAATCTATATTTTAACATGGTAGGTATTAAATCTTTTACCCTTCTAGTTATTGTTTGTTTAGAAAAGTCATAAATATTTGTTGAAAATGGTTCCCCTAATGTTAATATTGAATCTACATGTGCATTTCTCATAACCTATGATATAAAAAAAAAACAAAAGAATTAGATTGTAAAATGAAATGAAATGAAACAGAATCTAATTACCTCTGTTTCATATCCTGTTAAGAAGCCTAATTGTTCTGAATAATATATACACCCTTCTCTATCTACTTTTGTTGCGGATTTTAGAATTTGTAAATATGAATCGATAAACGTGGAATCAAATTCCCTGCTTGCTCCAAAATCTACTAATTCGATCTAACATTACATCATTAGATTAGTATCTAATTAATAATAAGATAATTTATTATTGAATCGCTTACTTTTCTTGTTTCAACATTATAAAAGAAATTGGTCCAGTTTGGATCAGTTTGCATAAATTTAAATTCAAATAATTCTCTCAAACAAAGTCTTAAAATTTTTTCACAAATCTACCAAATTAATCAAATTTAAATAACTAAAACTTATCTCCAATATAAATATCCAAATCCACTTCTTAATCATAAACTTACTTGGTCTCTAAGCTCTTGGCTATAATTAATAGCATTTGTTAAAGGTTCACCCATCATTTTTTCGCTGGTCAAAACCATCCTTGTAGAAAATTCCTTTACTACTTTAGGTATAACAAAATCTTTATCATCTTTTAAAATGTTTTCAAATTTCTCCATACATTCAGCCTCTCTAACATAATCGGTTTCCCATGCTAATTCTCTTCTTGCAACTTTAATTGTATTCTCAAGATAAAGTCCTTTGGGTAATAAATTGCTCATTATTACTAAAGTTCTAAGATTATTCAAGTCTGAATCAATTGAAGCTGAGATTCCTGGATATTGAACCTTAATTGCTACTGGCATGTAAGGGGGTTTCGATAGTTGTGCACTATGAACCTGACCTATTGATGCCGCTGCTATTGGAAATGGCTCAAAATTTTTGAAATTATCACGCCAATCAGGCCCAAGTCCATTTAACATTACTTTCTAATTTGGAAATTATTGAGTTAACATCAAATATTATATATGTGTATATATTCCTTTAGCAAAACCTACTTACCTCCATTTGCCAGTTTGGCATATAATTAGCACTATTTTGAACTCGCAATAGTACCTTTTCCAGTTGTGTGGGTAGAATATCATTGTCTACAAAATTAATATTAAATAAAGTAGAAATTATAATATACTTCTACTTATGGCTTATTTTTACCTTGAATACTGATCATTTGTCCCAATTTTAGCGCGGCTCCACGCATTCGGGATAACTTATTTACCAGACGATTTATATTCGCCTCACTTATCAATATGGAACCACCTTCAAAAATCAAATTAATACAGAATATTAATTTTTATCCATTAACTGCACAAATCGATCAAATCAAATTTTTACCTTGTGTGCTAGAAACACCCGTAGTTCTACGAATAACTTCACCCATGGCTCCCACTCCCAATCCAATGGCCAATCCTAAACTCACAATTAAATAAATTTATTTTAAGAATTATATATGATAAATTTCTATCCATACCTCCGTAATGAAACAGTCGGCTAACCCTTGAAGTCGGTATTTTTGACTCTTTAAGTAAATTCTGTTGAATATTGTCTCGCGTTCCATTATTCGGATCTTGTTGTATGTATGGCTTATTAATTGTAATTTCAGAATTCAGTTTTACATTTAATGATTCATCTAATGGATTCGTTACTTTTTTTAATTCACGTGAAATGTATTGAGGTGGGGGAGAGGATGGGTATGGATGCGATTGCTGATATTTAACCGATAATTGCCAATTTGAAGTTTTATAAAACCATTGAGCGTTTTTTGTTTGAATTTGTAAAAAAATTGATCCGATCTTTGTAAATGCGTTGGCAATGCTATAAATATCTGTCAAGTGTTTAGCAGACATATCATGATAGAATAATCAAATGAATAATATTAAATGAATGCTTGTAAAATTTATTGTTCCCGAGACGAAAAAAATAAAAAGGCTTCGGTAATGATGTGAGGGAGAAACAATAAAATAACTGTTAATATTTACAAATCAAGTACTTTAAAAATAAATTTTTGAAAAAAAAAAGGAATTTATGGTAAAAATCGACGAGTCAATGACATCATATTTTATTTTTGCTCGAAAAGCGTGCAACACGAATTAAAATTTAACATTTTATTTTCTCTTTTAATGTAACATGTAAACATTATTCATTTTCCTAATATTAACATATTTACGATAAGTTTATTAATGATACATAATGGATTCTCGGGGTAAAAAAAGTAACTTTTTCTTTTATTACTACATTATTTTAAATGTTCTTTTTATTAACAACATATTTTACATTCCAGACTCAGATTCACAAATTTTGGAACCTGAAAAAGATTACAATTTAGATTCAAAAGATAATATATCACAAATACCAGAAGTTGAAAAGGAGGAAAATGATTTAAATTCAAATTCTTTGAAAATGACGATAGCGCCAGTTAATGATCATCATAATGCTCCAAAGCATTGGAATAAGTTAAGAAATCTGGTATTAGTGGATGAATATATTCCATCATCATCTTTATCACCAGATTTACTTAATAATAATGTTTCCGAGGACGCGATTTCTCAATTTTCTGCTGCAGGACAATCACAATTAGCAAAATCAAACTCAAAAAATGAAAATACTGGAAATTATCAAGGGAACGCCTTAAAAATATTACGATTTAAAACAACTGTACAGCAAAGGTCAGATGTAAATAGATTGCAAAAGGATCTCGAGAAACTAATTGCTAAAAGATATGGAGGTTATCTTTTTACAGGCATGGGCAATGGAAGCTCTGGAGGTTCTTCAGGACCTTTACCTGGAAACGATAAAGGAAGCAAACAACTGTCAGAGCTGGAAAGAAGTGATAGTGTAAGAAGCGTAGGAAATAATGTAAACTTTTTCTCAGAACTTAGTAAATTATTGAAACAATGGAATCATGTGGTTAGATTACCTAACAGTTCGCTAATATTGGCTGAATTGGCCAAACCATTTTATAATTATCCGGTGAACGGTATGACTTGAAGATTATTTATATATATTAAAAATAAGGGATTTTTTTTTAATTGTTGTTTAAATATTATTTACTTTCTTTAGTTGATGACTGTAATAAATCATTAGACATTTTTGAATATATTAGAGCTAATTATAAACCTGCGGATCCTAATGTATGAATTTCTTTTGTGACTTTAAATATATTTTTTTTACTTTTGCGATTTAATTAAAAGAACATTCTATTAAATTTTAAAGGAAAATTTTACGCGAATACAGTGGTGTTGTAAACTATTAGGGACGCGTCAAATAGTAATCAGGGTAAAGTTTCAATTTTCAAATTATTAATGCCATTTGATGCGAGATACAAACTTTAAATCTTATTTTTTTATTTTTGAAATTTTTAAGGATCGCGTATGTGATATAGCAGAAAATTTGCTTAATTCTACTTCAATGAATTCATATTTCCCTGCTTCCGTTACAGCAATCCACGCACTTTTGTATACATTTATCCATACATTGGTTGTTACGGCTCCAGTCAGTTCGGAGAGAGCAGAGGAATCGAATAAACTTTTTGAAATGGTTAATGGGTTTTTGGCTCGATTAGCCGCTGGAACGTTAGTTTCGATAGACCCTGATGAGATGTTAATTGGAAACGCTAGGGTGCAGATCAACAAATACGATAGCTTGGCTCGTTGCATATTTTTAGAGGGTTTAGTTAAGTGTCTGCTAGTTAAAGACGTTCAATTACGTAAATATATTATGGAAAATCTTATAGGGGTAAGTAATGTTTGAATTGCCTTTTTCTATAGATTTAATTAGGCTTCCCATTCATAATTTTTATTTTTATTTTAGAAATACTGGTTAGCTCCCGACTTAACGATGCAATCTTTATATGAGCATATTATTCAATTATTTGCTCAAGCTTCGTTCGAGATGCTAGTTGACCCAATCTCATCATTTATCGATCCATCAAATCCCTATAATTCGTTACCTTATCTAATTCTTCAAATTCTAAATCAATATTTACCAGCAAAAAATCTCAAGAATATATCGTCACATGTTGTAAGATCACTTATAAACGTAGTGGTGTCTATTTTTGCTCTATCATGGGCCGATATATCTCCGCGTAGTTCATCTTTATCAACTTCAAACAAACAAAATAACATACCAGTTCAAAGTTACAATGACCATAGTAATCAAAAAACGAACGGAAGCGAACCTGGTACTGAAAATGAAAATTATATCAATTTAAGACCATCCTCTAAAGGTTCAGCTGGATCGAATTTAGCGACTACTTCTGATGGATTACTTACGCCCGGGGGTTCAAAACAGTCATCAGCGATTGATGTGTTAAAATTGGCTAAGGATTATGTTGAATCTCTATGGAACGAAGGGTGGAAGAATGAAGTTATAGAGCTTATTAAAGAAGTAGTAAGTTTGTTATTTTATTTTATTTTTAATTTGACCTTTGCTATTAATAATACTCACTTTCTCTTATTTAGTTTGAACAAGATAATTTAGATAGGATTATCATTATTTTTGAACAATTAGTGTTTGGGATAAACGATTTTATAGGCAACGATATTGTTAAGGAAACAATTTCAGATTTGTTCGCGGTACGTTAATTTATTATCATTATCATTCGACTTTTTAAATGTGAAAAAAAATAAATTATTTCCTTATTTGATTTATCTTGAAGAAAATAGAAAAAATCAAACCCGAGAAGCCACCAGCAAATTTAAAGAAAATGCTTTTGTCACTTTCTCTAAAGCATCGCGTACATTTTTATAAGCCAATGCTTGCATGCGTTGCATCAGATAATGAATCAAAAGTGGCAGAATATCTTCATCTTATCTCTACGTTATTAAATTACATAAGTGGTGTTGAACTATTTATGCAAGATGCTGAATTAATGAGTGTTATAATTTTAAGTGATGTTCCTGGTTCGACTAAATCTGATGAAAATAAGCATGATTCCAGACTCTCCGTTTCTTGGGGTTCGACTACAATTGGTCAATGCGCTATTATCATGGAGTTTGCCTGGATTATTCGACAATTAAGATTACAGCAACCTACCGTATGTAATATTAACATTCACCGTTTAATTCTCGACTTTTTTTTTAATTCTCGTATTAATACGTTAAAATTGTAGCGTTTAAAAGATTCAAAGAAGGATGTAATGGCGAAAAATTTTTTGAATGAGCTTGAAAAGAGGATATCGATATTTTTAATCGCAAAGGTATATATATCTATACATTCATATTTCATATTTACTATTTAACAGTCTTATTCACTAATTATAATTATAATAGGAAAAATCTAAATTACTTCCAATGCCATTACGTGTATTGCTTTGTAATCTTTTCTATGAAATAAGATTATATTGTAAAACAATCTACCGGTATGCATGGAGGTTTTTTTTTTTAAAAAAAAATAAAGGCATTTATTTGACCAACATAATATGAGCTTTAAATATATTAATATAGATTTCTAATTCTTGATTTCATAGACCAGGTTGGCTTACGCGAATAATTGATTGGATGATAAATTCTTCACCTAGGACCGTAATATATAGGGATTCTATGTTGCCTGGTTTAAATCAAAGCAATCAAAACAATCCATTCGTTACGCAATCTGAGTTAGAAATGGATAATAATTATCTTAATGAAGTTGAATTCATATTTGAAAGAATTAGGGTAGTTTATGCAACACTAGATGGCTGGAATGCTTCGGATCACGACAGGGTTATTATCTTTTTCTTTTCTTTTCTTTTTTATAAATGAAAATCATAAATTTTATTAATTGAAAATTTAAAAAAATTTTTTTTTGGCGGTATTAGGACGAATATTCAGATGTCCCAGTACCTATAATACCGAAATCGGCACATATTCCTCCTCCATCATCTCATACTCCCATAAATCCATATAGTGACATGAGGAGAAGCTCAGCTGTAGTTCCAGCAACAGATCCTGCAATTAATGCGCTACCAAGAATTTCGTCTAAATTAGCTAAACAACATCTTCATAGGTTCAATACATTTATTGAAGATCCTGCGGTTTCGGTTTTATCTTTGCTTGTTGCCGTGTATAACACTATATCTGTGGAAGAATTTACTAAGTTAGCACCGCATATATGGAATAAGTTCTTAAATGATAGGGAGCACAAACCTTTTGCTTCCGCCTCATTCCTTTTCATACTGTGCGGTGAAAAATCACCTGAAACTGTTAAGGATCTGATTATGAACGATTTGTACAGGTAAATTAATTATTTTATTATACCATTTTACATCCGTAAATCTCGTTAGCTAACAACTAAATTATTGTTTTAAAGTACAAATGCGTTAGTTCGTGCTATGACTCTTCGTAAATTATCCTCCCTTTTTGGTCACCGGAATCAACTTCTATCGCAACCTTATGTATCAGATTCGATTAGAAAACGTCCATTTCGAACACAAGCACCTGCAATACCTTTCGTACCGACCGAATTAGGTACTCAAGGAATAATGATGTATGATTCTCCAAAAGAATTAAAACATAAAGGTTCATTATCTTATGTTGTGAATAAAAAGATAGAAGAGCTAGGATGGGATGATGAAGAAGAAGTTGATTTGGATCGTTCAAAACGTATTTTAACACCAATATCACTTTTACCTACCTTTCATCTTGATGAAGAAGAATTTAAGAAAAAAGAGGAAGCTGAAGCGTTACAAGTTACACGTGATAAAATTAGGAGAAATGTTCGCGGTGATGCTGCTACATCTAATATTCAAGTAAATGCAAACAAGCGAAGAAATGTATCAATACCTATTTTAAGTTCCTTTTCTTTGAGGCTTCTTGATCTGTTGGATGATATGCACGGTGGTGTATATAACCTCACTAAAGAAATTATTATGTATTTTCTTAGAGATGATCCTCTTCTATTTCTTCGTATGTTTTTCAGCGATTTAGGCACATTAGATTTTGAGACACAGAAAAAGCTTCTTACAAGAATACACTTTCTTATTTCGATGCAACATGTCTTTCCTCCGGGGTTTACTCATATATTATTCAATCATCTTGCTGGAATATTGAAATGGTATTCAAGAGATAACAAAGAAAATGGGTTGGGATTAATGACTTACGTTATACCTACATTGGCGGAAATGGTTCCAACGGTTAATGACATTATCGTTAGAGATTTCAGGAAAAATAAGATTGAAAATATTCTTTGTACTAATGGACAATTCTGGTTTACTGATGGAACCCCACATACAATGTTTCCAAGACAATTAACTGATAATGAAGTTACATTTCATATCCTTGATGTCCCACTCGTCATGTTTCAAGTGGCTATGCTCCGAGTTGGACATATACACTTTATTACAAATTATGTAATAAAATGTCCTAGGGAGGTTTATTCCGTGAAAAAAATGATTCAAACCTTTGCTCCAACTTCTTTGACAAATACTTATGGTAATTCATCGGATGCGATAAACAAAGAGGAAAAATATTTCCCAGATATGGAAAAGTCACAAAAACGTTACAGCGGTTTTAAAAACGTCTTGTCAAGAAAAGAAAAGGACATTAAATTAATATCAGCATTACGGGCGAGATCGTGGTTAAATTTTTTACTTTCAATGCTAAAACGATTAAATAGCAATTATAACGATCGTAATGAGCTTAATATATTTTTGAGTGGTGCTAATGATATTATTTTGGAACATGCAAATGATTTTGGGATTGTGGGACAAACTTTAGTTTTGTATATGACGGTTATCACAAGGTTTCGTAGATTGTTTGACAATAATCGAGGATATTCGATCTTTATTCCCGCATTGTTTAAAGTCTTTTGTGAATCAGAAAAAATTCCTCCGATTAGATTAGCTATTACATTTGTATGGTGTAAATTTTTTCAAGTACACGGGGAATCTTTCATTTTTCAAACTCTTGGTAGCTTAACACCATTAATATTAAAAGGGTCGACCAAATCAACAAAGGTTGGACAATGGTTGTCTTCATCTCTTTACGAACTTTTCAAAGCTCTAAACACTCCTGTGAAATACATGGACTCGCTAGGAATATATGATGCGATTGATGAATTACACATAACCAATCAATTATCGTTTGATCCACCTCCATTACTTAACAATACATTTAGAAGGCGAGCAAATAGCTCAGCAACAAAGTCCAAGGGAGGATTATTAGGAACGTTAAATGATAAAACGTTTTCGTTGGAAGATTTAGTTAGATTATTTTTAACTATTATTGCTTACGATCCAGGTTCGCTTCGAGCTGAGCAATTTGTACAAATTCTACAATACCTCATTCCACACCTTTTAGAAGAGTCTTCTAGTGTTCGGACATTAGTAGTCGAAGGAATGACATCTTTAACTGAAGTATTCCTTAAATTTTCAAAATCTTCTAAACCAATTATTCATTCTACAACGAATTCTGAGAACAATGAAACAATGGAAAATTCATCCACGAATAAACCATTTGTTTCGGAGGCGACGACTCAAGCATTCGGCAAACAATGGCAACAGAATGATCGAATGATAATAAAGAGACAATTCTTAATTTTAGTGCAGACATATAAAAAATATGGAGGAATGCTATCTGATAGTTCACATAATAAGATGGCAAATATCATTAGGTTGATGCTTAAAGATTATGCTGCTGTCAAAGTAAAGGTTTCGACAAATTTTTTAAAAGATTATATTACGGATGTGTTGCTTTTCAACACCACATTTGAAGATGGAAGGAAACCGATAATGTCTTTGTTAAAACAAATTTCAACATCATTCCGTCAACATTACAAGATAATTGATTTTTCTGGGTTGATCGAAGGTCTGGTCTTAATAACATCAGACAAATGCAGATTTGCGATTAATGATCACACAATATCTTTTACGCTTAAAGACAAATTTGTTTCATTTGGCCTGTCTGTTGCATTAAAACCGGATTGGGAAGATGGCGAGTCTTTGCAACTTAAATTGTGCAATTGTCTTGTCAAATTATTTGTCGCTTTAATGATTCATTCCGATCAAGATATTCTAAGTGAATTAGACAAATATTTACCTTCACATCAATTAATGGCATACATTGTGATTCCAATATGCCTTCAATATTTGCCTGAAGATGTATACTTTACTTCGATTAATTCAAGTGCCAATCCCAAAACTTTGAAAGCGAAGAGTAGTTGGACTCGCTTATTATCATACATTACAAAAGCATGTAATAAAGAGTCCATCATGAGATCAAAAATAACCTTTACCCTCCTAGGCAATAATTCGAAACAAAATATTGATGACAAGGATGATGATAATAATGACGAAAATGTTACAAATAGATCACTTCCAACAACAGCTGAAGCTGCGGCTACATTCATAATAAGTTTCACGGCTCTAAAGATTGTACTTGTACGCGCCGAAAAATACTTTACATTAACGAAAGGAATGTGGGTTCATATAAGTCAATTCGTAAGGCAGATATTATGTACAGCTGGAACATCACAAATCAAATCAGGATTATATTCCTTAGGTGCAACGCCTGCGGCTAGCAATACAAGTATACATATAAGTAATGAAGCTAATGATCAAAGTGTCGATAGAACGTCCTTTTTACATTATAATCATCATCCATCTTCACCTGGAGGGGGGTTAAATAATTCCCATAATTCACGTTCTTCATTTTCATCCTCTTCGCTGGATTTCGTTCTATGGACATTTTTGGAGTTGCTTTTGTTTTATAAATTACCACTTAACTTATATTTACGTACTTTTATACATCAAAAATTACAGAATGCATCTACAGGAGCAAATAGTTTGAGTCACAGACTATCTGCGCTTGATAATATTCCGAGATCACCTTCACTTAATAGTAATGCCTCATCATTTATTAAAGAATCATCTAGAAGATCCAAATGGAAAAGTTGGGGAGGTCCTCCAGCAGGTTTTCAACAGGCTTTAAATAAAAATCTAGAAAAAGGAAGTGTGGGAAGAAATTCTATTTTAAAATCAGCAAAAGTTGATAGAGTTAAAACTTTAAGTATGGGAGAGGGAGGAGGATCTTCTACATTAAGTAGAGTAAGCTCATTCGGAGTCGCAAATGGTGGTAATGATCCACAAGAACATCATCATATCACATTTACCTCGGGAGCGTCTACAAGAAAAATTAGTGGTGTAAATAATTTAATTCATGAAACCTTAAGTGCATACTCTAATGTGCGTACTTTAATGGGATATTTGAATAGATCTCAGAACTTATCAAGTTCACATGGAAACAATTCATCTCCAGAATTAAGAGCCTGGAGTTATAAACAAGTAATAGATAAATTGAAAGAGGAAAAGAGAATTGTTATGGAAGCTTATAAAGGTGCCTTTAATGTTTTAGGGGAAGAATCATATTTTGCCAATGATCATAATTCTTTTAATGAAATTATTAATAGTTTTTAAAATCCTTTTTTTCTATTATCAATATTAATTATAATAATAAAATAATCTTTAATGTAAATAATCTGCTTTTGTGATTTATGATAAAAACGTTAACCCGCGCGTGTACTTGTAAAGATCATATAATACATAACCTCATTTGAAAATTTCATTTAACAGTAAATCAGAAATTTTTATCGGATGTTTTCATAAAATAAAAATTATAAGAATCTGTCCCATAAAAACTTGATCGATTATTCCATGTTATTTAACTTGTCAATTCGTGTGGTTGGCATTTGGGATGATGGAACCATAGAAACCCGGAAATCTATTAAAAAATAGAAAAAAATGTTGGTGATCAGTAAAACTGAGTGAAGCATTTTGGCATTACTGCATTAGAAGAGGCCTTTCAATACAATAAGAGCGTGTATAGTCACGAACGATCCATACGCACGTCATCAGATCTCCAAACAAGGGAAAACATGTAAATTAATGTAATCCGGAAGGAGTACCCTAGTCATTAGGACAGTTTGACATCGTCGTTATATTGTAGAACAAGAAATACTTAC